TTTAATTAACCGAATAAATGTGAAATTAAAATCAGTTGTTGTTATTGTTTTATCAATTGTGCATTTTCCTATTTCTATTCCTGAAAAAATATAACGTATTAATTATAAGGATATGGAAGAAATACCAGTCCAGGTTTCTGCGCATCCCCCGAATAATTGGAATTTTTTTGTTTTTTCGGCTTTCGTACTATGACTGTTTTAAAAGATTCGCATTTTTTTTTATCAATTTCACACTACCTCAAAGAGAAATTTTGGTTTACACTCCCCTAATGTTCGACTCCTATTTGCGGCCCTGGGTGTGTCAAGAAAGTCAACGAAGAGTCCTGATATAGCTGGCAACCTGATCGATTTTGTTATGTCAAAAATTTCCTTTGCACGCGTTAGCTATTTTTAACACATTTAACAGCATTAAATATTGATCTCATATGTGTTAACTGCCTTAAAAAGAAAGTTCTAATCCGTTGATGCACGTTAAATTCAGTATATCAAAAGGAAGCGAAAAAGGTCGCATCTATTGAAAAGTCGCTAATGCATTAAAACGGCTTAAAACGCATAGTTAATGCGTTAGCCTACCAGGAAAACGCGGATTAGTCTCATATTCAATTTTTTTAAGGCATATCTTGCATTAAAATTAAATTAACCAGTAACGACGCATTTAACGCGTTCTGGTACTAGTGACTTTTAACGTCTGATAAACTCAATGCTCTTCAACATGTTGAAACTCTTTTAATGTACTTTAACACGTTAAAATTTCCTAATTCATGCGAACACATTAAACTTTAAGGCATTCAAAGACCTCAAAAACTTTTAAGGCATTGACAGGTATTAGTATATTCAAATGCATTTGAAGACATTAGATTTCATTTCACAATACTATTACTCTTGTTCAAGAAAGATATGTGCAATAGATATCAAAAACACATCGCCATTTACTCATCATGTCCTGATTGTGATTGAAAGTTCTGCAAAAAAGACCTTTTTGGTCATAAACATTTCATCGCTATGACTTTTTAACGTAGGCTAAAATACAGAGCCATAATTTCTTCTACCGTGCCTTATCGATAGGCTGCAACAGATCGTGGTAACCCTTATATTATGATAAAGTTCCTCGCTATTGTGATACTTCAGGACATAACAATAGATAATCAAGTGCAACATTTCCACCTGATATAATGTCTACTATTCCGTTGAGAAAAGAGATGATGTCGTCAATCATATCACGACAACTAAATGAATAAACATATTCTTTGTTTTAAATGCTGAATACTGTTTTCCATGGTTTAATACTTTCCGAAAAGACTTTTATTTTTATTTTTATTCAATTTTAAAAAAATAGAGCACGTTAGGGTGTAAAAACGTACAGAGTGAGCAAATTATGTATGTCAAATAATTGTGTAACAAAGTCATATTGATTGAGAGGTGCTTTGGCCAACAGGCTAAAACAGAACTTTTTTGTACCTGGTTCAATGTATTCAAAATAAGTTTGTACATAACGATCGTTCGCCAGCTCTAAGAACCTTAAAAACACATGGCACATAGGCTATCGTACACTACAGGCAATGTCTTAGGAAGAATACCCCGCCCTTCGGCTACCTTCCGGTATAGGGTGCTGTCCGGAGACAGTTTTGTAAGCCCGATATCTTTCCTACAACTAATATTAGCTGTAGCTGTGGATAGAAAGCCAGCTGACTCAGAGTTCTGTGGCTCAATCGCTTGAGCTCCCCGTACACACTGAGTAACCACATACTAGCCACGAGGGCTGGTGTATGTCACAACGTAGTCAGCATGCTATCGGAAGGGTGGTTCGAGGGAAACAACCGTTAATGACTTGTCCAGGGTCATTCCAAATCTGATGGTGCCGAGGATCGAACACAGTACCTTGAGAGTACGTGTCAAACACCTTAACCACACAGCCATAGCGACTCAATCTGCGAGGATCTACCTAACGGGCAAACCTGAGCTCTAACCTTAAAAACATCTGGCACATAGGCTATCGGAGACGCTGATTACTGTGGCAATGTTTGTTTTATGGTTCGGAGTAAGGAAACTGCAAAACACAAATTTTTCAGAAAACGCGATTTTCCCATTGTGACCGTATTAAATTTAAAACCTCATCGCGTTTTCATTAATGAACAAAACTGCTTCAGATTTTCGAAATCAACTTAGTTTGCCCTGCTGCACAGTTTGCTGCAATGTTTTTAAGGTTCTTAAAGCTCAGGTTTGACGGATAGGTAGGTCCTCGGAGATTGCCTACGAACCATGATAGATGGAAGCTTTGTTATTTCATAGATCTATGTGCCCCAGTATCTAGTTTAAGAAAGTAAATATCGGAGGATTCTAGCTCTTGTCGTTCAAAAGGTATCAGAAAAATATCAGAGTTCATTATTGATTGAAACGTATAGTAGTTATGCTTAAGTCCAAAAACGTGTTATATACATATCTCAATAGGTCTATTTTTATTTATTTTCGAAATTCATAGTGGTTGGTTTTTGTGTTCTATGCAGTCAAACTACGACTCTGCGCTTTCTGCGCACTAATCGGTATTATAGTAAAGTTACTACAAAGGAACTACGATTGATGTTCGATAATAAGATCTAAGAAGATAATACAACATTCTGAAATATTCTAATATTATGCGATATTTTAGAACATTTCATCACATAACAGAAACAGTATATATGTTGTAGGCAAACTTAGAATTCAGGCAAATTCCAAATTTGCCTAGGCAAAATTAGAATTCTAAGTTTGACTGGGCAAAATTGGAATTCTAAGTTTGACAAAGTTAATCAAAATTAGAATTTAGGCAAAATTGAAATTAAAATGGGAAAATCAGAGATCACAACTGATAAAGTCATAAAATTAATTATATGGGCTAAAATCATGCTCTTAGTTTCTCCTGCTGGGTAATAAGCCATACTCACCCACTGATCTATTAGATGTATTAGAAGGAGCTTGAATTAAAGAATAATCACAATCTCGAGAAGGAGTGATTAGCTGAGAAGCTAGAACATTTGTGTGTGACCATGAAAGAAACAATTGTTTTAATTCAATTGTAACTCTTGCAACAAACTCCTTTCCATTATCACTATGAAGCAACCGTGGTGGACCAAAAGCAACTGTGAACTTTATAATTGAACTCCCTCTTCTCTGAATGTGAGAGAAGATAAAGAGAAGACAGTTAATTTGAAGTTGAAAATTGAGTGAGTTATGAATTTTTTAATATTAGATGAAAACAGCCTGAAAACCCTACTTTTCGTAAAACTCGCTTTTCGGTAACTTTTTAAAACTTTTTTTAAAACAAATATTACCACAAGATTCAGCATGATCGATTACCTATAGTCCATCCATTTTCAAGCCTACCAATAGTCACCGGGTGTCAGGACTCGTAAGAAATCCGATGCAAGGGTCGAACCGCGGAAAATCAAGATCTCGCTCGACTCCTACCTTGAAGAGACCACCCTGGGCTATCAGTTCGTAAAAAAGAATCAATGCAATCCGATTGGAAAACTGTTACATACGGCCTAGTTTTTCAACGATCTCCTAGAAAATCTGTTTCAAAAAACTCTTCTGAAAAAGTTTTGCTTATGGAAATATGTCCCCGAGTCTCCTCTTTCAAATGATGAAAATCGGAGCTCTCTAGCTACTTTCTAGCAAAAGTTATTCCAAAAATGGCAGAGCCCATTCGTTTTTTAACCGACAATAATTATGTTTTAGCACTCTTTTGCAAATAGTCGAAACAAGGATTCTCGACAACGCTTCCTTGTAGAGAATTTTTTTTTGATTGAAAGAGCATATCCAGCTCTAGGGCGTTACAGAGCCCTTTTTTCAAATTAGGCTTTCTTTTTTTATTAAAAAAGGATCTCTGCAAAACTGCTAGTGTTTTCTACGGGTTTTTGGGAGGTATTGAACTTCTAAGCCCTCTCTCCCCGCAAGAGAACCACAAATTTAAAAAAGGACTCTGTAACACCCTATAGGTGGATATCTTCTATCGAATAAAAAAAAAAATAATTGTCTGTGCTGAAGCCTTTACGAAAATTCTTGTTTCGAAAAAAAGCTATTTTTTGGCCGTAATTTTTGAATATCTTGGAAAATAGTCATGATATTGGTCCGAAAATTTTAGCATACCATCCCTATACCATGACCGAGATATCCTGAAAATGTCATGCAATTTCGTGACATGGAAGCCGAGATCCGATTTTGAGAGGGGGGTGGCCTTAAAGTAGAATATTATGATTATCTTAATCAAACATTTTTTATACATACATTTAGATTACATATATCATATTGACTACAGTATTGATTGTTTTTTCGAATACTGAATGAGAATATTTGACAAACAAAGACGATTAAAAAGCTTTTCAAAACGATGAAGTATATTCTTGTGCAAGTTTTATCAGTCTTATACTTTATTTCAATTAGGTCTTTAATCGTCTCTGTTTGTCAAATATTCTCATTCAATATTTGAATAAACAATTAATACTGTAGTTAATATGATATATGTAATCTAAATATATGTATAAAAAATGTTTGATTAAGATAATTATAATATTCTACTTTAAACATAATTTTCATTTAAAAAGTACCTTTTCTCTTTTCATAAAACAAAGCTGAAATATAATTTGCGTGAATATTATGACCTTCATCAATGTTACCCAGAAAAAAGCGTTTATACTGGAATTTTATTGAGAAAAATTGACTTAATGCGATATTTGATGGTATCTATGATCTCAGTATGCGTCCTCTACAGTGATTAACAAGAACAAAAAGAACGCTAAAAACCTATAAAAGTTCTCTAATTTTTCTTCATCTTAGATCTTATACCAAAAAGCTGCTCTATTGCACTTCTACTGTTCCGTACAGAAAATTTCAAGAAATATGTTTTACTATTCAGAGTCCGAAATAGTCTTTCTTATTTTCAATTCAATATTTTTCATATGTTCTTCCACTGATTCTGCCTGTGTATATTTCAGACCATATTCTAGTAAACATTTCATTCCAACAAGTTCTCTTGATAGAGAATAAAATGGTCTTCGTAATTCATATCCATCATCTAGTTTCACATATTTCGTATAAGCAGATAAAAATTTTGTTCGATACTCATCGGAATCCTGAGCGTCTTCAAAACTTCCCTTTTCAATTCGCATTAATTCATATTCATTATGACCAATAAGAGCATCTTCAATATCCAAAAGACCACAGATTATAGGAAAACAGTCTTGATCACAGCCGAAATTGATTAAGATATTTCCAGGATGAAGATCCATATGAAGTAATCTCGAGATAATTTCATAGTCGATCAAGTGCATGTTTTTCAATAGATAGCCATGAATGGCCTTTGGAATCATTCGACATAGATATACAGATAAAATACTCTGATCTGGTCATCGAGAATATCGCGGTCGTACTAGGTTGGGTTTCTTTCAGTTCAAACACAAAATGAACTTATAAATATAAAATCTCAGCTAAAACACAAAGTTTCGAGTCTAGAGTTCATTAAGGACTTCTGTCAAAAGTACTTTATACGAGAAATCGATTATCAAGCTTTGACACCTTATAAAAAACACCTTTTAAACAAAATGTATTTAACTGGAACTCTAAACAAAGTTCCTACCCATAGTTCATGTGGAAAAAACTTTACTTAGTCAAAAGTAGTTTTATGAGCTACGTGTAGTTAAAGAGAGTATCTGAGATCAGAAAAATGCTGCGAATTAAAGAGTTTTTTCATGTCTAAAAATAGAAAAAAGAAAATTTCAGAATAAAAACTTTTTCTGGCCGTTAAATAAACAGTCGTTTACAAAACTTTAATCCGAATTTGAATCTAAAGTGCAGGGTTCTATTTTTGAATTCTTCCTTATGTAAGCCCTAAACACATTTTTATAAAAAGCATTTTCACCAAAAACCAAGAATTTATCTCACTCATTCATTTCCCAGGATATCTTTAACGGCTTATTCCATTGCTAGTTCTTCAAAAACCGTCTTGTCGAATTCTTTGATTTGTCGTTCAATTATTTCTTGAAACATCTCTTTCCAAGTGTGAAACTGCCCATCGCAGATTAACTGCTCATTCTCTCCTTTTTTCACATTTCCAAACGTTTGGAATATGTAACCAGAATGTAATCTTCCAACTAGCATACCTAATTCTTCATATATCCTAAATCGTTGTTCTCGAGTCATTTGATCGAATGTATGGGAAAGGGGTGTACCAGGTAGTTTAGGATAAATATAATAGTTTTCGTTCTTATCATACTTCAGAATTCGTGGTACGGGAAAACCGTCTTTTTCTAACTGACGATATATAATAACTTCTTTGTCAAATTTTGTAGAGAATTTTAATACAAGTTCCACTGGATCGTTAGAGAATGAGATAAAATAAACTGAATTTGACAAACCGTTTGTAGGCTGAGATATCGACCTGACTTTTAAGAAACTGTTATAACAAAAAATAATTTGTTCAATACGCGTGAAGTGCTCCATTAATCTATATTGCCATTTGTAGAAATGAACCGCCTGCTATACTTAGTTTATGTTTTTTTTCGGAGATACTGTTGTTCTTTTTTTGATACAGATACGCCTGGTAATTCTCAAGTATTGATGTTTGTAATAGAAGACAATTTATGTAGTAAGATCCACCAGTCGTTACTCACTTTTAGATTTCTGGGTTTTATTTTTGCTCGGTTTAGTTTCACTGTTGTGTCACAAGTATACTTTTCCCATTGGCTAAGATTCTATCATTAATGTGTGATTGCAAACTTCATCGTTTCTTGGTCAAGATAATCTTTCATCAATTTGTCTGTTAACGAAAACGATTTTATATTGAAAGAATGCACTTGTGTTTCATTTTTTCTTGAACGATTATGCAGCTCGCCAGATGGCGGTAAATGTCGGTAGAAAAGGAGTACAACTTCTGATTTTAGTTTTTCTTTTACTTGCGAGCAAACTTTTAGCTTCTCTGAGCTTTCGTGTAGCATACTGACTTTAGCTGCATGTGCAGAAAAAACAAATTGATGAAAGATTATCTTAATAATTCTTAATAATTCCTCAGATTATGTGACGACAATTTACCGCTTTAGTTAAAGGGTTATTAGGATTTCGTCATCTTTAAAATAAATATAGTTTAATACAATCCTATTGGAAAACTTTTACCGACGGCCTAGTTTTCCTAAGATATCCTAGAAAGCCTGTTTCAGAAAACTCTTTTGAAAACAGTTTTAGTTATAAAAGCATAAATCCAAGTCTTCTCCGTCGAACGGTAAAAACCGCAGGTGGATAGCTCTTTTCCTTCAAAAGATATAAGCAAAACATCGGAGTTCGTTACTCATAGAGACAGATAGTAGTCTCAGCGCATAATACTGGAATAATTCCTGGTATTATTTAGAATATACGGATTATAGATCGAAAAAACACAGTGTATTATTATATTATTATGCACGGTGTATGCTATTAAAAATTTCGCTTCTGGTGCAACTAAAAATTAATGTCGAAAATCCGCTGGATTTTCAACAATTGTCGAAGTTCATTGTAAATACGACAATACGAAGAAAATCATATCAATTTTCGGCAAATGTCGAAATTATTGGCGACTTTGCTCTGTATATTTCGACAATAGTGCCAAAATCCTTCGGAATTTGGACTGTCGAAATTCTAGGTGGAGATATTCTACGATATCACTTCAACACTATTTAATATTTTCTCGTTGTTTCTTTAGTTGAAGGCATTACCACCACCTGACATAAATCCAAATTATATTTATGATACTGAATCACAGCATGAATTTTTGACTTCAAAAGAGGTCCTTTTTTGAGCCGATAACACAAGTAAAAGATCGATTGAGACGTGAATCTAAGGGAAAGATGATAAAACTTACCTTGTACATTTAGATCAAGATATTGTTCTTTGAAAAAGTCAGTTAGAATGCTTTTTGTTTACAGATCTTCAAATAGTTCCAGTGTCTTCATGATCCACATTATTTATGTGAAAAAATTTTAATTTTCTTATGATATTGAGCATTCAAACCCTACTCATCCGATAAAAGTTTACCCCAACCCATCGGGAGCTCTGAAACAAATGTGAGCATTCTAAAATGCACTAAATTAGAAAAAACCCTGTTCGAACAGTTTTTTTTCTAACTCTAATGCATTCTAGAATGCTCACATTTTTGCTAGTAATAACTTCAAATCTTTTTTCACAGTAGAATTTGCAAGAGCAAACATTTATCTACAAATGAGAGGTTGCGCGACTCTGAATAATTCTTTGTAGATGACTTATAACAATTTTCGTGGAAGCCCCAATACCAGTTTTTAAATGGTATATGCCTACTTTTACAGTCAAAACCACAGCAATGATATTTGAATATGATATGAATGTGGTTATAAATGCTTGCGAGACTAGGAGTGCATCGGTTATTTTTTCGTATTTTTCAAAAATTCACAATAAATGTTTTGTATTTTCATAAAAACAATTTGCAACATTTTTCTAAAACGGCAGTTTTGTAGAGAAAACATTTCTCTACAAGATGATATATAATAGTTAATTTTAAAGGTTTTTCTTTCCT